CTTGGTGAGTAAAACACAACAGTTCACAGGAAGCCATATCACAAATGGATGGCTTTACTTTGTATTAATACAAGGATTCCATTATTACTTTTACTCGTATCCTCTTTGCCATTGATCGGCTCGTTATCAGCTTGGGCGGTTGGTCACGTCTCACTGCTGCTCCTGTCAAGAACTGAAAAATCAGACTGCAAAAACGGGTAGTCAACTGGTCATGTTGGTAGGCGTGATTACGGAAAGCTAAATGTCAAAGACTATTAAGACGGGAAAGCTGCCATCTATCTCGATAAGAGAAGGGCTCTCGTAGATCTGCCTAGCAGCGCCATCTGTTGAGCTGACCCATTACTATACGAGAAACGTTTTAAACAAGGTACAGTACTGTATAGGCTTTTGATTATATCAAAATTATTTAAACACAATTTTATATATATATATATATATATATATATATATATATATATATATATATATATATATATATATATATATATATATATATATATGCAAGTAAATCACTGTAGGTGCGCGTGATCTAGGTATGTTATAACACAAGGAAAGAAGAACACACGAAGTGTTTTCTTTCCTTCATATATATATATATATATATATATATATATATATATATATATATATATATATATATATATATATATATATATATAAAATCACACAGGAAAAAACAACGGAGCACCTTCGCTTTCGTCTTCATTCAAGACATCTTCAGACATCTTGCCTCTGAAGATGCCTTGAATAAAGACGAAAGCTAAGGTGCTCCGTTGTTTCCCTTTTCCCGTGTGATTTTATCAAGATTTATCTTATCCACGTTTTCATTGTGGATCTACATATATATATATATATATATATATATATATATATATATATATATATATATATATATATATATATATATATATATATATATATATATATATATATATATTGTAGGGGTATCGAGATATTAATGTTGTCTAGCACTCAGGATGGAAGGAAACTCTAATGTGGGTTTCTTGTATATATAGTTATATGATAGACAGTCTGGTGCTGGAGGTGCCGTGTGGTGAGGGGCTGCACGGTAGAAGACGTTCGGTGAGTAGCTTGTTGAAGGAGGTAGATGTGCAGGAGCTTCGTTAAAGAAGATGTTGCCTGTTGCTGGCCTCCTGGTTGAATGAAATGTTAACAGCGTGGAGCTTGCTGGAGGAGATGTTGCTTGTTCAGGAAAATGGGCAGAATGAAAGTTGGTTGGTGAGGAAGCTCAGGGAAGGACAGCTGGTGGGTCGCCATGCTCGCCGGCGGGAGCGAGGACCGCCAGGCAGGCGGAGGAGAGGCGAGGGTCGCCAGGCAGCGGCAGAGGAGGAGGTGTTGCTAGTTCAAGAAGAATGGTCAGAATGAATCTCAAGGGAGAGACAGAGCTTATATACCCCGCAGCAGCCGCCATGAGTCATGGTGGGAAAACCCGAGAAGTAGCCGGTGAATAGTTTCGTTGCTAAGATACGGTAACATCTGGTTGGTTGCTAGGGAAGGCGGCACATTGGAATGCGATAGCAGGTGGTGAGCTGCTACGCAGTTGTAGGCAGTTGTAGGGGAGAAGTCCACTACAATACTCCCCCTCCCCTCCAGGCGGTGTAGGAGACTTGTTGATTGTAGAGTTGCTTAGCACATGTGAGGAAGACCGGGCGGTGCATGCCTCATGTGAGACAACGGCGATGGCGTGATGAGCCGATCGCTGAAATACAACTGTCTAGATACACACGATCTGTGGGAGAAGGGAGAAAAAGGGTGTGTGGAGGCGATGAATGTTGTTCTTCCCTCACGACAGGTACAGGGTCGTCAGATGCGCCTGCTGGGGTGTGTGTGGGCCTGGATCAGGAGCAGGGGCTGGGTCAGCAGAAGCGGATTAGGGCTCGTGACAGCAGCTGGGTCCACGACAGCAGCAGGGTGCAGGACATTAGCAGGGAGTACCTGAGGGAGAAAAGAGGGGGTGTGGAGGCGATGGATGGTGTGTGCTTCCCTCACGGCAGGTACTGCTGGGTCGGCGTCTGAGGCAGGACGGGTGTGCTGGGGTCGTAGGATGTGGTGCATGGGGCAGGAAGAGGAGCCGGTGTCTGCTTGAAGACTGGGAGCGTGATCAGTGTCTCCTCCATCCTGTGTGAGTGCTAATCTCCGGGAGTCACCATTGTAGGGGTATCGAGATATTAATGTTGTCTAGCACTCAGGATGGAAGGAAACTCTAATGTGGTTTTCTTGTATATATATATAAGTTATATGATAGACAGTCTGGTGCTGGAGGTGCCGTGTGGTGAGGGGCTGCACGGTAGAGACGTTCGGTGAGTAGCTTGTTGAAGGAGGTAGATGTGCAGGAGCTTCGTTAGAGAAGGTGTTGCCTGTTGCTGGCCTCCTGGTTGAATGAAATGTTAACAGCGTGGAGCTTGCTGGAGGAGATGTTGCTTGTTCAGGAAAATGGGCAGAATGAGAGTTGGTTGGTGAGGAAGCTCAGAGAAGGACATGCTCGCTGGCGGGAGCGAGGACCGCCAGGCAGGCGGAGGAGAGGCGAGGGTCGCCAGGCAGCGGCAGAGGAGGAGGTGTTGCTTGTTCAAGAAGAATGGTCAGACTGAATCTCAAGGGAGAGACAGAGCTTATATACCCCGCAGCAGCCGCCATGAGTCATGGTGGGAAAACCCGAGAAGTAGCCGGTGAATAGTTTCGTTGCTAAGATACGGTAACATCTGGTTGGTTGCTAGGGAAGGCGGCACATTGGAATGCGATAGCAGGTGGTGAGCTGCTACGCAGTTGTAGGCAGTTGTAGGGGAGAGTCCACTACAAGTCCACTACATATATATATATATATATATATATATATATATATATATATATATATATATATATATATATATATATATATATATATATATATATATATATATATATATATATATGATATTTTTGTTCTTTATTGTTCATTTGAAGTTTTCAACACATTAAAATTATTGGAAAAGAAAATATCGATATGTTTAATGCATTCATATTGCCATTATAATACATCAAAATACAGACAGAGCAAATGTTATCTATTATCTTATAGCCACTACAATTTTCCTTTTACACACACACACAAACACACACACACACAGAAATATACATGCACATAAATATAATAGAATTTTACGATATGCAATAAAAAAATTAGGTTATATACAAATGAATGAAAAGGAAATCTTAATGACATTTGTAGTGGACGTCTCCCCTACAACTGCCTACAACTGCGTAGCCACAGCCACCATCTGCTACCGCCTTCCCTAGCAACCAACCAGATGTTACCGTATCTTAGCAACGGAACCAGGAACCGGCGACTTTCTGGGTTTTCCCAACATGACGCCCGATTGCGGCTGCTGGGTATATAAGCTCTGTCTCTCCATTGAGACTCATTCTGACCATTCTTCTTGAACAAGCAACACCTCCTCCTCCGCCGCTGCCTGGCTGCCTTCGCTTCTCCTCGCCTGCCTGGCGGTCCTCGCTCCCGCCAGCGAGCATGGCGACCCACCAGCTGTCCTCTGAGCTTCCTCACCAACCAACTTTCATTCTGCCCATCTTCCTGAACAAGCAACACCTCCTCCAGCAAGCTCCACGCTGTTAGCATTCATTCAATCAGGAGGCCAGCAACAGGCAACATTTTCTCTAACGAAGCTCCTGCACATCTACCTCCTTCAACACGCTACTCACCGAACGTCTCTACTGAGCAGCCCCTCACCACACGGCACCTCCAGCACCAGACTGTCTATCATATATCTTATATTATATAAGAAAACCACATTAGAGTTTCCTTCCATCCTGAGTGCTAGACAACATTAATATCTCGATACCCCTACACATTCACCAAACTGTACCAAAATGAGCATGCCATGATTTGATGCACATAAACATGGTAGAACATGGACTCACATAATTACAGAACATAAAGTGAACACAAAATGCTGTAATGTGAAGCAAGATTACATACACAATGCACATCCAGCAACATACATTAAACATATGGATAAAGCATGTACTTAGATACCAAACATCATGAAATTCCATAGATAACATAAATTACTACTATGAGGCCTATATGCAATCTTTCTTACATTATATTCTACTAAATTAGATACTATATAACACTGCACATATCATCTCATATTTGAAACACATGTCTATTTGGCTAAACTGAAAAGGCTCTTTGGATGTGGTAGTCCAGGCGTTTGTACAGATAATATAATGTACAATGCAACAGTAAATATTTATAGATTACGAACTAATGAAAACAGCCTACCACGGGACAGGGAAGAGCAGAGAGGAGGGGCCTGCTGGTGTAGATAGCTGAGGTGACCAGAGGAGCGGGGGATTTTAAACAAAATTATTATTGTGTCAATACAACACGACACAGAACGGAGTAGTTTGGTAGTTTAACAACTTATTGGCAAGATTGCAAGAACAAAATACCATGTGGGGGGGAGAGGGTGGACGTATAGGCGCCGATTGACAAACTTGAATCAACGAAATATTTTGGTACTCTTTCAATTTGCCATTTTCCCTAGATTTTGACCAATTTTCATTTTTCTTCCCATTTTCCCTCTTAGGAACTTAATCGTATCAAAATGGCAGCAACTTAGATTTAATTCGGTCACTAACCTGTCCTCTATCACATCGACTAATGTCAGAGAGAAGAAGATGAACAGCAAGATATACAGGTGTAGATCATTCGCCTTGAATTAGCCATATTGGTTTAATGTTCGTTTACCCTCGAATGAACAAAAAAGAAGAGAAAATGAGAGCCGTTTTCTTTGATGCAGGTTTTGTCTCTATTACTGACAGTATTCTAAACCGATCTACAAAATATACACAACTCATAATATATTAATATTTATGACATTAATTGATATAGAAAACATTAATAATTAAAATTAAATACTTCTCATATGTAAATTAAATATGATATATTGTTTTAAATACAAATTGTTTCTTTATAGTTGTAAAATAGTTCATAAAAAGAAACTTAGAATAATGTAATCCAGAGTTAGTATGTGTAAGGGTGGCTAGACCCCCTTCAAAGAGCGTCAAGTTTGATAAAAGATAACCCATGAATCACTCCTCTATATCAATATATGACTCTTATTCACAAGCCTTACTCAGGTCGGTCAAAAGTGTGTGATATCAGGTATGTATAATTCCAAGTGTTATGGAGGGACTTGTATTACACTACATTAATGTAGATCAGACGTAAGGTTGTTGTATTTTGAGATAAAAATTGTAGGTGAATATGCTGCTCGAGTCAAGGTGATCTGTATCCCAGTGATAGACATTTACTGTAATGTCCTTATTAACTAACCAGAATACTCACCATTACCATAGCATGTCAGAAATTTGTTCATTCTAGATAGACCACACAGAAATGTTGCTCATAGCTTGTCGTTAATTTAGATAATAATGTCGCCAAACATTTATAGATAGTTTTGATGTTACTTTAATCCTGGTGTTACTGTATTAATAGGCACTTTCGTGAAATGTCATAATCTGTCATGGAACTGGTCATATTTTACACAGAAATGAACCACTGAGTGCTGCTGAACTAGACAACTTGGTATACTTACCATTTCATAAATTATTATAATAATTTCCGTAGTATGACATGTAATAACTCCAAACATAATAGTTACTTACCATTGTCTTCATTTTATGTTTCAAAAAGCTGTCAGGAACATTTGAAAATTTGATATTTGTAAAAATTTATGCTTTCTTTTAAGGTCATCATGTAAATAAACCAAGAGACTCGTGCTTTTAATATTATCTAATTTTTATTGTTTTTTTGTTTTTAGATCTGACTAAGGGAAACAGAAATGGGAAGATCCAAGACAATAGTGCCTCGAAACTCAACAGACCGTGTTCTATTTTCCCTAATGGTAGTTGGCATACCCTTTGGAGTAGCGTGGTTGGGGTGTATAGTGTTACCCCACTACCATGACACCATCAACTCAACAGTGGTATTCCATATCGTGTCAGCCTTGTTCATCCTCTACAACATTTTCCATAACATGCTTCTCGTAATCAGGATAGATGCAAGTGGTCGAACCTCTTACTTACCCTCTGTCCTTAAACCTGGTAAGTAATTTTTGTATAGTCATATATTGTGATCCAAACTTGTAATAAATTAAAAAATAGGACATCCTTCACCTTCATATTGGACTCTCAGAGGATTACCCTTGGCATGAAGATTGATGAACAAAGGGAAGGAGAGGGACTAAGTTTGACCACAGGGGGTAGAGGTCTTGGAGTAGATGACGGAGTGACTTACTTTGAAGGATTTTGGAGTAGGGTGTCAAATAAATGGGTACTCCAAATTGACTTGCTATGGTATGCACAATAAATAATGAAAAATTGACGGGTGTGCAATATGAGTCAGAAATTCTAAGATATGTGTGTAACTGCATGAAAGCTATGTGCACTTATACTGTACATGAAGAGAGTATTTTCACAATCTCTTATTACTGTAATTATTGTACAGCAGGGGTTTTTTTTTTTTTTTTTTTTTTTACCACAAAATAAGTTCAAGAACATTCCTTCCACAGGCTGGAGATACTGTGCCATCTGTCAAGTGAATTATCCCCCAAGGTCTTACCACTGCCACATATGTGATGAATGTATCCTCAAGAGAGACCACCACTGCAAGTTTACAGGTAATATATTATTTTTGTACTGTGTTAATATTGTCAGAATGGAGCATAAGTAAATTCTTTTTTCAGGTCATAATTCATCAGCATCTGCAAATGAATTATTCCGAGTTGACTTTCTTCTTTCCGTCTGCTTTATCTGTACACCTTTATGAATATTGTATTGTACAGTATTAGGCAATATGGTGTCCAGATAAAAAACATGAAATATAATGTATTCTTCACAATATTAAAAGTAATTATTGGAATTTTTTGTCTCCCTTTCACAGGGTGCTGTATCGGCTACCACAACCATCGTTACTTTTTGATTGGTATTCTGTATGTATTTATAGGAGCGCTTTATGGTGTGTATTACCAATGGGACTATGTCTTTACCACCATCAATCTGCCAATGTTTTACTTCTTTTTGACTTTGTTAGCTCCCCATTTTACTCTCCTATTTGGCGCCATAAATCTGTGGGGTGTCCTCGTAGCCACACTCCACACCCTGGGCCTGATAACACTCTCCATGGTGTCTTACCTTCTCTTTATGCAAGTGAAGGCTATTTGCCTCGGCCAAACTCAGTATGAAATGAAGCTGGACATACATGATTATAACTTGAGCCTTTACCAGAATTTTGTTGATGTTATGGGAAGGAAGTGGAAAATAGCATGGGTGTCCCCCTTCATTAGTTCACCTCTGAAGGGTGATGGCATTAGCTTCCTTAAGGCTAATGAGTATGAACCGCCGAAAGACATTTAATGCAATGGAATGTTACGTTTTCAGTGTGAGGTGGTGCAGTTAGCCAGGTACTACTTAAATGTTAGGTCTGTTTCACTGTAGGTGATGTTCATGGTATATTTTGAGTAATTTATCAGAAGAACCATTGTATAGAAGCTTAGTGGCCTTCCTGTGGCCTCCTGTAGTGTTAGTTTTAGTTATAAGTGCAATTAAAAATGAGATTGTGCTTCCAAGTGGTAGTTGTTTGTAGAAAATACATAAGTATCAGTATTAATTGTTCATAATTTCACTTACAGATTAAGTATATTTGTATGCATGTAAAGTAGAGGCAACTCATTGATAGAGTTTATAGGGTTTATAATAGCATTCATATGTGGCCTTGTGACTTCCAGTTAGACACAAGTAACTGTGCTTCCAGTGGACAAGTTAAGACTTAATGAAACTTCCAATATTCATATCCTTGTGATTCAAGTTTATGAAAACTTTGCTACTCATTATTCACCAAGATGTATTTTGCTTTACCATATTTTTTTTCATCCAACCAACTTTTATAAATAGGTTTCAGGTTTAACTTTTATGTGTTGAGTTGTTTGGTTTAAGTTTGCTTACCTGCATTTATTTGTACAGCAGTCATTTAAGATCCCAAATTTCAAACAATTGCTTTACAGTATGGATCAGTTTTCTTTTATCTCCACCATTATGGTAAAATTTTAGTGTACAGTATAGTCTCGATTTACGTGGATTTGGTTTACGCGTTTGGTCATTTACGCGGCACCTTGCCAGACCGACAATTTTTATTTACGCGGTTCATTCCATTATTTACACGGGAAGCGGCGCGGGCAGGGTGTGCACAAGGTCGCCCAGTCAACAAAACATTACCGAGTTCTTCACCCGCCACCGCCGGCCCAAGTCAGTGACAGTGATAGTGATAGTGAGGATATGGACTTTGAGGGGTTTGACAAAGAGGCCCTGCAAGCCTCTGTGGTGGATAGTGATACAATTGATACAAGTGATACAGGTGAGGGCCAATAATCTGCCCTCTGCCTCGGAACCAACCCCCCATCCCCGTGTGTTTAGCCACCTTTTCTAGTAACGTAAGTGTTAAAAAACCTAATATTATTGATATTTCTCTTAAATATTAATTGTGTGCATACCATCATAAAATTAAGATGTTATTTTTACTACAACGTACGTATTGTGTCGGAAAAAGATAACTTTGGGGGGTCGGCCCAGTCTCTATTTCAATTAATCCCATATGTTCTGTTATTTCGTTTACGCGTTTCTCGTTTTACGCGGACCTCCACGGGTTCAGTTGACCGCGTAAATGAAGACTATACTGTTGTCTTTTTTTATGGCAAATTATGGCCATGTGCAGTTGCGTTGAAGGTCTATCAGCGAGATGTTTGGGACAGCTTACCTCGTGGTGGGGATCTGCAGTTACTGGGTCTAGTTCATCTTGTTTTATGAATGTAACCTTTGTCTTGCCTCTCAAAGGTACATTATTGATGTGGTCAGTAAATAAAATCTCAGGAAGATTGTGCATTTCAACATACAGGTAGCAGTGGTATTAATAAGATAAAATTACTGTCAGCAATTTCTTCATCATTATCATCATCTTTTTATGCCATTTTCCATGCTTGTGTGTGTTAGCTGGGATTACCTTATAGCTTGGTATCACATAAATTTGAAATGGATTTTACAGCCACTGCTCTATCAACCTCCTTATCAGCTGTTCAGATATGTTGGTACAATATCAGCTGTTCAGATAAATAGATTCATTATCAGCTGTCTAAAGGTACAGCTTTTGAGGTACGTAGAGTAGATACATTTCTTTATAATTGTATAGCTATATAAATTCGCCATCGGCTATTCAGAGTTATTATCAGCGACTGTACTTAGATTCTACATCAGCTGCTAAGATCCACCGGTAAGTTAGGTGCTGAGATAGGTATACTGTAGATGTATTCACTGTTGGCCAATTAACCTCCCAGGGCAGTGCTGTTGTATGAAATTCTTGCCATCTGAATATGCTGTTAAAGAAAAATACTGTATACAGGTTATGTTTTACGTATTATGCTGTTGATATCTTGTCTTATTTGCATTGCCTCATTTTTCAGAATTAAAAGGTGAAAAAAAGTTCCTTGCTATACACTTAGTATCCACTTTTACTTTTTACTTTTATCCTCTTCGCCACTGATCGGCTTGTTAGCCGCTTGGGCGATCGGTCACGTCTCTGATTACTTTTCCTTTTCATTTATCTTCTTCACCAAAAGATCGGCTCGCTAGCCGCCTGGGCGATCAGTCATGTCTCTTTCACGCACTGTTGGCAAATACTGGGCATGCACCGGCTCCTGAATGTACCTGAACTCGCTCCAGTGTTGGTCAAGTCTTGTCTTGAAAGAGCTCACACTCGGTGCCGTCACAACATTCTCTGGTAGATTGTTCCAAGAGTTTACAACCCTCACTCCAAAAAAGTTTGCCCTTACGGTTTTCTGGACTTGCGGCTTCTTCAATCTTGAGCTGTGGCCCCTTGTGGGGCAAGCGTCCGCCAGCTCCAAGTAAGGACACTCAACTGAGTAGTGCCCCCTGAGATGCTTATACACCTCATTTAGGTCACCCCTTGCCCGTCTGTAGTATAAGCTAGGCAAGTTCAGGCGCTCCAATCTCTCAGGGTAGCTGAGGTGCCGAAGTGCAGGCACCAGTCTGGTGGCCCTCCTTTGAACATTTTCAACCAACTGACAGTCCCTAGCATATCTCGGGGACCAGACAGGGTGACAGTACTCCAGATAGGGAAGCACTTCACTCCTGAAGATCGTTACGAGGAACGGACCGTCTAGATATCTGAACGACCTTCTTATAAGACCCAATAATTTATTTGCCTCCACAGATGATTTCTGCACCTTTTGTTTTTGTTAACATTATGTCAGAATTTAGTTTGGCTGCCTTACACCTGCATGTTCTGCCATAATCAGTACAGTATTACTTTCTTTTTTCTTCATTATCACCTTTAAAAAGATTGTGCATGTACAGGTAAAACTTGATTTGGAAAAAGATTAGGAAATGCGGTAATGAAAAATAAACATCAGAAAGAAAAGGAAATTAAATATTATAGGAACACATTACAGAACTTAGCCTTGCTCTGTCCTCGGAGAATTATCAATGCTGCATCTTCTTACTTTTCCTGCCAGTACAGTGCACTATTAATGAGGGGCATGCTAAATGATCTTGTCAACTGAACTCAATACGATACCTGTACAGTACGGTATATGAAACACACACTAACCTTTATGATGTCTTCCCCAGGTGATGTGAGTTTTGGGAGTTTCACTCTATACTGTAGTTGTACTTTACATGTAGAGTGACCTCCATCCTCAGCATGTCTTCATATATTCCTGTGTCATTACAATATCCATGTAGCTGTCTTGTCTAGTCTTCTCTCAGTTTATGCCTGTGTACACTCAGTGTCTGTCTGTTGTCTATCTGGTTTTTGTCTTTATATATACTCACTAGCCAACCGTAAACAGGATGGCCAAATAGACTGTTCTACATGCCGTAAATATATTAAGGGACAAAATAATGGAAGCATCTTAATAATATTACATTTTGAGGCAGAAGATTACTCAAGTGTTAACTAACTGGTATACACAACAGTGAACAGCCCTCTATTAACTTGTCAATTATTTAGCACTGGTAAAATAATTTTACAATGATAAAACACAACATTAATTGTTATTCATTTATCACTGTCTCTTAGATTCTATTAGCTCTTTAAAATGATTTAACCCCTTGGCAATAATGCTTGGAAAACTTAATTCCCTTTTACTGTATCTCCATTTAAAGTTTGGAGGTTAGGCCTTGTAGAATACTGTATACCAGGTAGCCTGTCCGTAGAGATCCGGGAAGGATCATCCCCTATTGGTCCAGGGTTAGTGCAGAGGGTAACTGGAATACTCAGAGAAAACCTGTAATGTTCAGTAGGGTCATACTGGATAACCCTCTTCTCACATCCCACTCAAGATCAAACCAAGGATGTAATGGTGAGAGGCAAGTGTGGTATCTGTACCACAGACATGCTCTGCTCCCTATATAGTGTAATAGATTTAAAGATGCAAAAGTCTTCCTAACTCATTGTTGGTATTCCATCATACCTGATTAAATTGGTAAATAGATAATCTACCCTGAAATAAGACTGATGGAAACATGAATAACCCAGCTTGTCCTTCTCCCACAATAGTGGGTCAGTAAGTGATAGGAAGAGCCAGTTCTGCTGTCTAACTTACCCCACTTGTTATTAATAATACTGTGCTGATAGTAATGTAGAATATGGTTGAATTTTCTTGTCATTTCTTTTTGAATTTCAAGAGACAGTTGAGAAATTCATATATAGTAGTGAGACTAACCTGACAGGGAACTTCAAGGCCAATTAGATTATATACAAGTACTTAAAGCTGTTCATGAATACATATATAATAACTGTCTTCATTGTCTGTGATTTTAAAGTGATAGAACATGGTAATGATGTAATGTATTACAAGTAAAGTACAGTATATGTTCATTTCTGTGATTACTGTGTGTGTGTGTGTGTCTTTATTACACATGCTATTGTACAGAGATGTGCTCAGTGTTTGATTACAGTGAAACCTCGATAATCCAGTCCCTGCTGGCCAGGACTTTGGTTAATTTGGATGACTTTAGGTTGGTTCAGCCTGACATGACTCTTTGGCATTAGTTTATGTTTATCCATAGCAGTGTGGGGGTCTTAAGGGAGTACAGTATCTTGTTTTCATTGACAATTTCCTAAATGGGACTGGTTTCATATTAGTGTGTTTTGGGGAAGATTTTTTTCCCCCATAATATTGTATCTCCTTTAATATACAGTAATGAATTTTTCATTTACAGAAGGTTTTCAGGAACACGTCTTTTGTAGATAAGCAACTAATTGCACTGTTTTGAATTTTATAGGTTTATTATTCATTATTTACATAATATAATATTTTTATACTACCGGTATATACTGTACTGTACTGTACTGTACTGTACTGTACTATATACATTTTAGATAGTCCAGACTTTGGGCTAACTCAAACACCAGTAGACTGGAGTAGCGAGGTGGTACTGTCCATCATATTTGTTTTGTCTCACAAATAAATTCTATATCTTCCTAAATAACCCAAAAACTTATTATATTGTACCTAAATAAACTGCATGTATTATTTTGCCTGTTATTCAAATTTCACACACGTAACAGGACAAGCATGACAATCCAGTAACAAGCATTTAGATAGTGAATAATTAATAAGATATAAGTGCATTGTAAGAGTTGTATCAAGAAGTGATTAGTGTGTATGATGGTCTTAGAATGGCCTTGTAGTATTAGTAGTTGGCACACTTGAAAGAGCCTCAATCATACCAACAGTACTTGGCCCCAGCTTACACTAACCTAATTGGTCCAGGCCAGCCCAGTAGGATTGAGTGCCATTTGACATGTACAGGGTCATTTTTGTGAGAACCCTAAATAATTATGACATATTGGGATGTGCAATAAACAGGAACCTAAAAATCAGTAAAAATGGTCTGATCATATCATGGTGTGGAACTTACTGGTAAGTGTTCTTCACAGTGATCAGACTTTATTCCTACTGACTTTTAAGTTCCTATTTATTGCACACCCTAAAATATAATAATTATTTAGGGTTCTTGAATAAAAAAAAGATACTTGTACTATTAGTATTAGTGTTGATTGTGATTGATGATGTCTTCTTCCGGAGTTCCTTTGTGTTGTACCGTGATTATTACTATCAATATACATTATACCATTACAGTATATTATTGTACAGACAACTTATTCCTTAAGAAAATTAATTATAATAATGCATTTAGTGAACCATCAACTAACTATATTAATGTATTGTTTTACTATTCTTTTGGTAGGAGAAAATCAAAAGTAATACCAGTACGTACAATAATATTATTTTAGTAAGTTCCCAAATCAAATGAGTAAATGGAAAATATATGGTACCTGTATATGTACTATACTGTAATGCGTTTATATTGAATTATAGAAAGCTTAAATTAAGGATTATTTTAAATAGGAAGACACATAAGTACAATACCTCCTACAATGACCATAATTACTTGTGTGGATAATAAAAGTCTTTCTGCTCAACTGCACAGTGAGTACTATGCATTAAATTGATTTGTCTCTGAATTATTGGACCTTCCATGACACATCTGTATGCCTGATTATGGGCTTTATATCTAAATAGTGAAAATTAATAAAATAAAATACATATGTAACACATTTTGAGTTCTTGTAGAATAGTGTGCAAATGAAATTATTAGATATACAAAGTAAATAATATATATTGGTGTATACACAACTAACATTTTCTAAAGAAAAATTCTTACCAGTCCCAAGTAGATAATATCTTGTGAAAGCTTACTGTTGTTTTCTCCTGGTAGCTGCTCTGTGAACTAGTCATTTATGGAGTTTGAGTGAATAAAATTGTTGATTATTTGTAGTCTGTTATTTTCCCCTCTGTACTGTAAGTAAACAGAAAATGTATAGTAATTATTAGATCTTTGTTTGACAAGACAGTAGAGAAATATATTACAATAGCTGTTTAACCTGTCATCTATCTTTTATTTAGTACCATATAGTTACAGTGAGATAACTTGACATAATTTAGTATGACAACTTACTATGATATTTATTTATATTTCACCACTTATCAGCTTACTAACCATTCAGGTGGTTGATCTATCCAGTGTTAATACAGGAGGAAACCTGTAATGTTTGGTACGGTCACATTACCAGAAAACTTGTAAGTGGTCCCTCACAAATGTATTATTCTTTCACATACACTTTTGCAAATCTTTTATATATTAGTTTCTGTCCTATTTTTCAATGATCTATACTTCAATACCCACAAGCATTTGTCGATTGTTTGAATCTTTCTCTCCTCCTAGGTGCTGTACTGTCAGTGTTCTGCAAGATATTCTATCCTGAACATTGGCATCACACAGATACAGCACCTCACAAAGGCCAGTGACACCAACACGTTGTATCCCAATAAATTGGCATTACCTGTGGTAAAGGTTGCATAAGGTATGTAAGGAAGAATTAATTGTACTGTACTATACTGTACATGATGTACAGCTTAAAAGAAATTTTGTGTCAAGCCTTTATCTTGAGGGCTAGTTGTGCCTTCTCTCCACTACAGTATTACTTAAAACCATTGATAGACAAGTTTAGTGACACTGACTGCAGCACTACTGCTACAGTACATGTTCACTACAACACTAGCACTTCATGTTCACTGCAAAACTAGCATTACATGTTCACTAACACTAGAACTACATGCTTAATACAACACTAGCACTCCAAGCTTACTAAAACATTGGGACTACAAGTTCACTACAACACTAGTACTACCTGTTTGCTACAAGCTGGCACTACCTGTTTGCTACAACACTAATACTACATGTTTACTAAAAGTTCTACAACACTAGTAAGAGTAATAATAATATTTATTCAATAAAATTGTCAAACAGGTTTACAATTGGATAGGCATGTTTATGGCAGGTATACAGTGCAGCATGAATATAGACAATGCGCTCCCTTTTTATTCTCTACTTCTCTCACCTTTCTCTGATATATCTTTCTCTTCACCTCCTCTTCTTCCTTCATACATGTTCCAACCATCTCTCTTCTCTTGGGGGTAAAATAAGAAACAGGATTGTAAAAGTGGCTTATAATTATATTTCAAAGTATTAATTAATGTTACTAGACAAGACCGTGCTACCAGAGGAATGTAATGTACTAAAGATAATAGCAATAAATACCAAGGATAAATAGGAGTTAGTAAGAAATAGTAATGTACAATAAACATGACCAGTAACTGGGTACAGTAACAAAGGTTCATGCACTTAGTGATATCCCCATTAGCCGGAACAATTGACAATTGGTGCATAGCACTTCTGGGGATGAGAGATTTCCGGGTTTCCAGACTACTTTCTCAGACCCGGAAAAATCCCTTACCCCCAGAATTTCTTCTGGGCTACAGGAAAAAGTTTCAGAGAGTCTAAACTGCGTTTGCATCTTACACAGACAGATATTAGTTCAGATCCCCAGAATGTTTCTGGGAAAGGGGAAAGATTTCCAAGAGTCTAAACTACTGGAGTCTGTAAAGGCAGTTCTCTTTTTTTAGTCTTTTATCCTCTTCACCACTGATTGGCTCGTTAGGCGCTTGGGCTATCGGTCACGTCTGTTACTTTTCTTTTATTTTTATCTTCTTCACCAATTGATCTGCTCGTTAGCCGCTTGGCCTATTGGTCACATCTCTGTTACGCACTGATGGCAAGTACTGGGCTGCTCCAGTGTTGGTCAAGTCTGGTCTTGAAAGAGCTCACTCTCAGTGCTGTCACAACACTTTCTGGTAGATTGTTCCAAGAGTTTACAACTCTCACTCCGAAAAAGTTTGCCCTCACAGTTTTCTGGACCTGCGGCTTCTTCAATCTTGAGCTGTGACCCCTTGTGGGGCGAGCGTCTGCCAGCTCCAAGTAAGGACACTCGAGTGAGTAGTGCCCCTCGAGATGCTTATACACCTGAATTAGGTCACCCCTTGCCCGTCTGTAGTATAAGCTAGGCAAGTTCAGGCGCTCCAACCTCTCAGGGTAGTTGAGGTGCCGAAGTGCAGGCACCAGTTTGGTGGCGCTCCTTTGAACATTTTCAACCAACTGACAGTCCCTAGCATATCTCGGGGACCAGACGGGGTGACAGTACTCCAGATGGGAAAGCACTTCACTCTTGAAGATCGTTACGAGGGACGGACCGTCTAGATATCTGAACGACCTTCTTATAAGACCTAATAATTTATTTGCCTGATTTACCTTCTTCCTGTAATGGCCCGAGAACTTCAGCTCATTGTCAACATACACACCTAGGTCCTTCTCACATTCAGTCTCAAATAGTGCAGTTTCTTCATCCCTTTGGGACATATGATACGCCTCCTTACCTTTGGTATGCCCCAGGTGCATCCTCTTACACTTCGTGACATTGAATCTCAGCAGTCATTTCTTTGACCATTCTTGGAGCCCACAGAGGTCCTTCTGCAGCTCTTCACAGTCCGCTTGGTTCTTGATTTCCCGAAATAACTTGGCGTCATCGGCAAACATTTGTATGGAGGAGTGTACGTCAGGCATGTCATAAATGAAACAAACAAACAACAGCGGGCCCAATATACTGCCCTGTGGTACCCCACTTTTGACAGATACAGATGATGATTTCATGCCATTAATCACTACACACTGCTTGCGGTCATGTAGAAAGTCTTCTATCCACGCTAGGACATTTCCCCGAATTCCGTACCCTTCCGGTTTGATTTTCAGCCTTTTGTGGGGTACACTGTCAAAAGCCTTGGCAAAATCTAGGTAAATATTGTCGATATTACCACCCCGTTCCAGAATATTGGTCCAAATATCCAATACCTTGAGCAAGTAAGTTAGGTAAGGTTAGGTATGTTTCTTTGGTTGATTAGGTCAGGTTGTGTTAGGTTCTAGTAATTGTTACCTGTTTTTAAAATACTTGCTATAGTGATAAGAACATCTGTGGAGAAACAATCCCTTCTGTTTGTAGCGGTGTTCTCAAAATTACTGTATTAATAAGCACAGATTATTACAGTAATGTATCTACTAATTAATGAATAACAAATACATAGTGTACTGTACAATACTGTATATGAGTGAAAGACATAGAAGAATGAGTGAGAGGCGGTGAGACGAGATGCAGTGGGTGGGACTGAGGGACACGCCCCTTGTAGGAGGAAAAGGCAAACCGACCGTGTGATCACCCCATGCTAGGGTATGCCACCACCTCTTGTTCTGATTGTGTTATAGAAATTAATTTGATACCATAATGATCCTGAATAAATTCTCTATGAGACATTTTCAATAAGAGATCCTTAAAAAACTTATTTTGACATGATATAATGATAGGGACTCCATTCTTTTATATGCAAAAAAAAAATATATGAAATGTTACCAAAGTCAATAAAATCTGTTCTAATTAGGTTAGACATCATCTTTTTACCAAAATTATCCTGAATATTTTATGTAAAAGTTTGGTTAAATAGATATACAGTATTTAAAAAAATAAAATCTACGTACAGGTATATATGATGCAGGCGTGAATGGAGCTGTGGGTTATAGCACGGTGCTGTATTTATTTATGCAAACACCTCTGTACACTTACAATATATTGTTAATATGATAAACAAAATAATGTATACTAATACTACACTGTATTGTACAGTATATATTGTACTGTAATCACCAGCAGAGTAGGCAGACACTGTCCACTCAGCTGACCTGGTGGGTGAATGGAGTCTCATGACCTGAAGATGTCTTGAATACTTACTTACTGAATGTACACTACAGTATGTACCCATCACTGTAATTATATTTAATGTTTTTAACACTGTATTCTTGACTGATTTTGTTCTGGTACAACACAAATTATATGCAAAAACAGAAGCTAGCGAGGGAACAACCTTCTACAGTGGCAGCAGAATGTGAACTAAACGATCCAAGCAGCCAGGCCACCCACGCGCCTGAGACATGGGGATGTGCTAGGGCATGATGCACTATCTCGGAACTCCTTGAAAATTTATTCCCAAGAACCAGAACATAGAGATTTAGAAAGATTTTCTCAGAACCTCAAAATTTCCTCAGAAAATGTGCCGGATCTTCACCTTCGGAAAATTGTCCACAGACCCGGAATTGGGGAATTTTTTATGAAAAATTACGAGCCAATTTAAATTCCAGGTAGTATTGGAGAGTTCCGTCTAATGGAAATATTAATACAGTATATCACTTGTGACAACACTTATAGCAATTACAACATAACACTTGTAACACCCATAACATGACACATAACACTCACAGTACTCATAACATAACACTTATAACACTTGTACCACTCGTATATAAACACTCTTAATGCTCATGACACCCATAACAACATTTATAACAGCATATATAACATTCATAACTCTTAACATAACACTCATAACATTACACTCATGCCTCAAGACACATACAGAGTAGCTGGTGGACGGTCTCTTCTAAACTCCATACTTGAACTCGATTCCAAAGTCGCCCAAGTTCTTCTTTATCCATTTGTCCATCTTAGCCTCCAGTTCAGGTGTGTACTTGCCCTTCCAGTCACCTACCTTACCTGGAATAGATACAGATATGGGTGAATGATTTGTATATTTTGCAGCTGTGGATTTGGGAAGGATGTTAAGGTTTTTACATAACAGCTGGTGGTAGGTTCATGTGTAAATGGCATTCAGAAAGTGGTAAAATGAGAAGTAAAATAATACACACATTTAGACATTTGCAATAAGCAGCAACATAATCTGCAGTGAACCTATTGAATAATGTTGCAAATTTTATCTTATGAACCGAGTACAGTACTATCGTGACAGTAGTGTTTGCTGTTGGCATACTGTACAGGTTTATTGAAAGAAAATGTCCTGATTTTAAAATGTACAATATAACCATTTAAAATCGGGGCATTCTTTAAAACCTGGAATTTTTTCAAATGTGGCCATTTTTTAAGATCTGAGCAATCTTTAAAATGTAGGCATTGTTTTACCTTGAACCTAACCTGATCTAATCTGTCCTAATCTAACCTAAACTATTCTAGCCTTACCTAACCTAACCCAACCCAACCTAGTCTGTATTTACCTTGCCTGAAGAACCCTCCGTCTTTCTGGACAATGTCGACGTTGAAGAAGATCTCTGAGCCCGCTCCCAGCACCGCATCACGAGCCTTCATCTCTGCGAAGCTTGTGTAGTGCGCCACCTGGAACACGGGGAGTGAGTCAGGACTTCAAATATAGCATGTGCACAAGTAAAGACAGAAGAAAGAAAGAGGGAGATAGACACAGACAAGGGCAAAGAGAAAGACAAAAAGAGAGAGAGAGAATAACAGAGAGAGTGTCACATTCTTACATTGTCCAGCTGTTCTTGGGAGAGGTTAGTACCGAGGAACTTGTCCAACTTCTTGAGTTCTTCCATGTTATTGTTCTTGAGGTCCTCGAAGAACATGAAGTGTAGATTGGGGTTTTTCCTCTGCTTCCAGGCCTCCTTCAGGTGAAGCCAGTAGGGTCCATACACACCTGTGGGCATGTGAGATAAAGAAATTTCAGTGATTCTATTATTTCAGCTAAGTTATCCAGCTCTGTAAGTGCACAAGTTAAAAAAAATTGTGTATGGTGTATGTGTATATGCATCTGTGTAAGGTGTTTGTGTATGTATATCTGTGTAGGGTATTTGTGTATGTGTATCTGTGTAGGGTATTTGTGTATGTGTATCTGTGTAGGGTATTTGTGTATGTGTATCTGTGTAGGGTATTTGTGTATGTGCATCTGTGTAGGGTATTTGTGTATGTGTATCTGTGTAGGGTATTTGTGTATGTGTATCTGTGTAGGGTATTTGTGTATGTGTATCTGTGTAGGGTATTTGTGTATGTGCATCTGTGTAGGGTATTTGTGTATGTGTATCTGTGTAGGGTATTTGTGTATGTGTATCTGTGTAGGGTATTTGTGTATGTGTATCTGTGTAGGGCATTCGTGGGTGTGTATATGTGTAGGGTATTAATGATAATAAAGAAATATAGCCGCATAATCAAAAGCTAATAATTACTTCTCACAAGAGTAATTACATCCAAATACCCTTTGCAAACACACACACACACACGCACACACGTGAGGCCCCTCATAACACCATCTGTGAGGGAATTACTACAACACGTGAGGTCCCTCATAACACCATCTGTGAGGGAATTACTACACCACGTGAGGTCCCTCATAACACCATCTGGGAGGGAGTTACTACACTACAAGTTTGCTGTTCAACACCTACAATAATCTGTATGTTCACTGTATGTTCCTTTACCTTTCTCTAATGAAGGCTTTTGTTAAACCACCAATGTATGTAATAAGTCATTTATGTCCAATGTATATTTTCAGTCTTCGGGCTGCAGAACTTTTTCAATAAACCGTCAATTATTATTATTATTATTATTTACACACACACACACACACACACACACACACACACACACACTAGGGACTTACAATCGTCATCCAGAAAGTATTGCACAAACTCCTCAAACGTCCCCTTGAAGTCGTGGTTCTTGAAGATGCGAGAGTGATGGAAGAAGGATACTACAGCATCCTTCGGGTTCCTGGCCATGTACACCGCCTGAGAAGGACAAGTTAAGACCTGTGAATGACCATCTGAGAGGGACAAGTTAAGAGCCATGTATGACCATCTGAGAGGGACAAGTTCGACAGCTGTGAATGACCAGCTAAGAGGGACAAGTTAAGAGCTGTGAATGGCCAGCTGAGAGGGATAAGTTAAGAGCTGTGAATGACCAGCTGAGAGGGACAAGTTCGACAGCTGTGAATGACCAGCTGAGAGGGACAAGTTCGACAGCTGTGAATGACTATCTGAGAGGGACAAGTTAAGAGCTGTGAATGACCATCTAAGAGGGACAAGTTAAGAGCTGTGAATGACCAGCTGAGAGGGATAAGTTAAGAGCTGTGTATGACCATCTGAGAGGGACAAGTTCAAGAGCTGTGAATGACTATCTGAGAGGGACAAGTTAAGAGCTGTGAATGACCATCTAAGAGGGACAAGTTAAGAGCTGTGAATGACCATCTGAGAGGGACAAGTTAAGAGCTGTGTATGACCAGCTGAGAGGGACAAGTTCAAGAGCTGTGAATGACCAGCTGAGAGGGACAAGTTCAAGAGCTGTGAATGACCAGCTGAGAGGGACAAGTTCGACAGCTGTGAATTATTATCTGAGAGGGACAAGTTAAGAGCTGTGTATGACCAGCTGAGAGGACAAGTTCAAGAGCTGTGAATGACCAGCTGAGAGGGACAAGTTCAAGAGCTGTGAATGACCAGCTGAGAGGGACAAGTTCGACAGCTATGAATTATTATCTGAGAGGGACAAGTTAAGAGCTGTGAATGACCATCTGAGAGGGACAAGTTAAGAGCTGTGTATGACCATCTGAGAGGGACAAGTTAAGAGCTGTGTATGACCATCTGAGAGGGACAAGTTCAAGAGCTGTGAATGACCAGCTGAGAGGACAAGTTCGACAGCTGTGAATTATGATCTGAGAGGGACAAGTTAAGAGCTGTGAATGACCAGCTGAGATGGACAAGTTAAGAGCTGTGAATGACTATCTGAGAAGGACAAGTTCGAGCTATGAATTATTATCTGAGAGGGACAAGTTAAGAGCTGTGAATGACCATCTGAGAGGGACAAGTTAAGAGCTGTGAATGACTATCTGAGAGGGACAAGTTAAGAGCTGTGAATGACCATCTGAGAGGGACAAGTTAAGAGCTGTGAATGACTATCTGAGAGGGACAAGTTAAGAGCTGTGAATTACCATCTGAGAGGGACAAGTTAAGAGCTGTGAATGACTATCTGAGAAGGACAAGTTCGACAGCTATGAATTATTATCTGAGAGGGACAAGTTAAGAGCTGTGAATGACCATCTGAGAGGGACAAGTTAAGAGCTGTGAATGACTATCTGAGAGGGACAAGTTAAGAGCTGTGAATGACCATCTGAGAGGGACAAGTTAAGAGCTGTGAATGACTATCTGAGAGGGACAAGTTAAGAGCTGTGAATTACCATCTGAGAGGGACAAGTTAAGAGCTGTGAATGACTATCTGAGAAGGACAAGTTAAGAGCTGTGAATGGCTACCTGGGTTAATAAAACAGTGACATTATATATTATCAACCACTCATTTACCTTGCTAGTCTTCAGGAGGTCTGTTGGCAGGAGGGGGAGAGCAAGGTGAGACTTGAAGGTTCGAGGTTCAGGAGCCAACTCGCACATCTGGAGGAACACCCCGTTCTCAGGTTCTCTGCCGGGACACATCTTCTTGAAGCCCTGCATCAGTGGGTGGTCTGGCCCGATGGGATCAATATTTTTGGTCTTCAACAATGTATCCATTCTAGGAAGGTGAAATAGGAAATGATGATTTATTGGGCTGTTCTTGGTTGAATCGACTTACTGTTTATTATTGTTTGTATACCTACATAGTCTATGCACACTGTATACTTGCACTTCACTTTAATGGTCCTTTGCAGGACTAGTTCTCTAAAGAAAAGCGTTTTGACATGGAATCTAAATGAGCAAGTAAGTTTTAATCACTGGAAGAGGAAGGAGGAACAGGAAATAAGAATGAGTATCAATGTTGAAGATTAACTCACTTAAACAATAAGTAACTTGAAGGAAAGAGTAACAAAGTAGAAAATCGACTCACTCAAGGAACGGGACTCGGGCATTGACAGGGGCCGCGGCCATAGGGTTGTTCAAGTCTGGGTTGTACCTCATTGTCCACATAATCTCCTGCAGCCATGTCGTCCCACACTTTGGCCATGTCAGAAGTACCACATCGTCGGGTTTCAGCTACCAGGGTGAAAACGAGAAGGTTACTGTATGTGCATTAAAGACATAAAAGCTTCAGCGTATGTTTTATCTCAACAAAGGTGTCTGAACCTACTGAAGAAGGTGTCATAGTATAGGATATCTTGAGGTCGGGGATATTAATATTAGAGTAGATTATTGAAAGTATAAGTCTTTATCTTTTATCAGTTTCCTGTAGGTTACAATTATGTGTGAAGAAAACCATTGTATCTTTGAGTGAATCTTGAACAAGTAACCTAACCTAACTTAAACCTAAACTAACCTTGAAGTTATAATATTCATCTGCGAATCTCTTGAAGGTTGAGGGGAAGAGCCACCTGCCGGGGTGAAGGCGAACTATACCCTCACTGTACCCCTGCCAGTCCCTCTCCTGACGGGCCAACTCCTCCCCCTCCAGAGACACCAGGTTGTGACCACTCGCTAGAGACATGGTGTTCCTGCAGGTACAAGGACGTGTTACTTGTGTGTCACGTGTGTTACTGGTGTGTCACGTGTCTTGTTTGTTACGTGGGAGCTACATTATAACACGGCATCACACATCAGCCACTACAACATGTGCTATGTAATGTGGTTAGCAAAAAAAAAAATATATATATATATACATCCAAGAATTTATCTGTATTTGCCTTAAACCACACTTAAATAAAAACACATACTTCACCCCTGAAAAACCTCCATTAGTCAGGTCAGGAAGAGAGTGCACCGAGTGAATTAATTTTAGCATGACATACAGTCTGCAGTGTAGGGGGGTGATCTCTCCTCGTCTCAGCAGTGCCTCTCCATCCTCGTCCTCGTTTCAGTAGTGCCATCCCCGGCCTCGTCTCACCAGTGCCGTCCTCGTTTCAGTAGTGCCTCCTCCGTCCTCGTCTCAGCAGTACCTCCTCCATCCTCGTCTCAGCAGTGTGCCTCTGTCCTCGTCTCAGTAGTACCTCTGTACTCGTCTCAGTAGTGCCTCCTCCATCCTCGTCTCAGCAGTGTGTGCCTCTGTACCTCTGTCTCTCAGTAGTGCCTCCTCCATCCTCGTCTCAGCAGTGTGCCTCTGTCCTCGTCTCAGTAGTGCCTCTTTCCTCGTCTCAGCAGTGACTCTTCCATCCTCGTCTCAGCAGTGCCTCCTCCGTCCTCGTCTCCAGCAGTGCCGCCTCTGTCCTAATCTCAGCAGTGCCGCCATCCTTGTCTCAGCAGTGCCTCCTCCGTCCTCGTCTCAGCAGTGCCTCTGTCCTCGTCTCAGCAGTGCCGCTATCCTCGTCTCCAGCAGTGCCGCCATCCTCGTCTCAGCAGTGACTCTTCCGTCCTCGTCTCCAGCCGTGCCGCCTCTGTCCTCGTCTCCAGCAGTGCCGCCATCCTTGTCTCAGCAGTGCCTCCATCCTCGTCTCAGCAGTGCCTCCTCCGTCCTCGCAGTGCCTCCTCCGTCCTCGTCTCCAGTAGTGCCACTTCCATCCTCGTCTCCAGTAGTGCCAATTCCATCCTCGTCTCCAGTAGTGCCAATTCCATCCTCATCTCAGCAGTACCTCTGTCCTCGTCTCAGCAGTGCCTCCATCCTCGTCTCAGCAGTGACTCTTCCATCCTCGTCTCAGTAGTGCCACCCCCGTCCTCGTCTCAGCAGTGCCACCTCCGTCCTTGTCTCAGCAGTGCCGCCTCTGTCCTCGTCTCAGTAGTGCCACCCCCGTCCTCGTCTCAGCAGTGCCGCCTCCGTCGTCGTCTCAGCAGTGCCACCCCCGTCCTCGTCTCAGAAGTGCTACCTCCGTCCTCGTCTCAGAAGTGCCACCTCCGTCCTCGTCTCAGCAGTGCCACCTCCGTCCTCGTCTCAGCAGTGCGACCCCAGTCCTCGATAAACCAGTGTTCCTCCTCCGTCCTTGCGGCACCAGTGAGTCCGTCCTTGCTTCGCCAGTGCCGCCGATAACCTTCTCGATGTGTACTTCCGTAACGTAATAGATAGCTAGATAAAGTTTTCACATCACAGGGTCACGAAAGGATGCCAAGGTGACTGACTGTGTGTGTGTGTGTGACAGTGTGACAATCTAATTCAACGTTCATCCTTGTAGACTGAGCTCTTAGTGTGCGAGTGTCTGTCAGTCTGTGATTGAAAGTTGACATTCACGCTTGTGGAAAGTTAGAGGAGAGAAGGATAGAGAGTGGGATACTCGAGAGAAGAAGAGGAAGCTGAATAAATGAGAATAAGAAAGAGAAGAAACTGGATGTAGACTATGAGAGAATATTAATAAGGTCAGAGTATCATATATCACCCGGTACTGACATTATTTTCACCAAGTATTGATAATATATTTACTTGGTATTGGTAACACTACACAAAAATAAAAAACAAGTGAAAATCGGCAATAAACATGCTAATATAAAGATGAAATAAGCAAAGCGCACTGTACACTGAAGCATACCTTGCACCATAGGTATATACTGTACTATAACTATGCCACCATAGCAATGTGTGTTCTGTGCATCACACCATAACTCCTCAATGTCATAGAAACGTGCACCATAATTCCCAGTCATACATCCGTGCACCAATACTACGTGTCATACAAATGTGCACCATAACTCCTCAGTGCCATACCCCTGTGCACCGTAACTCACTATAATCGTGATATAGAGTCTTGTACCATGACAACTCACTATTCTCGCCTCTCAGCACCCAAGCGTGTTGAGTGTTGCAGAGATTGACAGAAGCGACAGTCACCCTCACCCTTCAAGCCAACCAGTAGCACCGAGGTTGAACCGAGTATTTAATAATTGGGGAGAATCTACCTCACCTCTTTTTACAGCAGCCTAAGAAGGGCATCGTGTTGAAGCCTCGACAGATGTGGGCAGGGAAGAATATACAGTACTTTCAGGTAATGATCACGACGAGTTCCGTTCTCACACACTGTGGATCACCAAGCTTGTGTGTTATTAGTGAGGGCATGGTTGGATATATACAGTATATAAGGACTTTATAATGGTATATGATTTGCATATTATTCAGGTTGGAAAGACGGATATATGTTGAGTTTACTATGGTATAAATTTTGTATAGATTCAGGTATGGGTTCCTGGTACGTGTTAATGTTTTCCGGTATTGTTTTGATTCATGATAGCCCTGTATCCCTACTTCCTTTTCCCCGTCCTTTCTTCCCTTCACTTATTCTTACTGACTTCTTTCCGTTTTACCAAATATGTTCCAGTATAGTGAGAACAATTTCATTTTATGTGAACAACAACAAAAAACTCAACACTACATAATGTGAAACGTTGGTGAAAATCTCATTCCGCTAAAACCACACCATCTACCCCCTCACTCCCTCCTCCCCCCAGAGCGCCAGGTGAACAGTGGCTCAGACCGCAGTCCAAAACCACACACACACACATGCACACACAACACAACACAACACAACATACACAACACAACAGCAACACAACACAACACACATTCGAAACTCAACTCCACCTAGTTTTCTAGATCTATTTACGGAACTTAAAAGCCTTGTTGTTCTCACGGAGGGTCAAATTTAATACCTCAAGGACGGAAGGTTGACCTACATGTTTGGTTCACTCCTGGTATGATGGGTGTCGTCTTGGAAGGCTTTATGACGCGTGTTTTAGTGCTTACCGCGTGTGTGTGTAGTCCATCTCACAACGACACTTAGTTATTGTAATTTTTGTTATGTCACTTGTATCTGTTAATACACTCTTTCTTTCTTTTATTCTGGTACACACACACACACACACACACACTACACTACACTATGCACCATACACACACAACACAATACAATAACACACACACACACTCATTACACTACACTATGCACCATACACACACAACACAATACAATACACACACACACACACACACACACACATATTACACTACACTATGCACCATACACACACAACACAATACAATACACACACACACATTACACTACACTATACCATACACACAACACAATAACACACACATATTACACTACACTATGCACCATACACACAATACAATAACACACACACACACATATTACACTACACTATGCACCATACACACACACAACACAATACAATAACACACACACACACACATTACACTACACTATGCACCATACACACACAACACAATACAATAACACACACACAGACACACACATTACACTACACTATACCATACACACACACAACACAATACAATAACACACACACACATTACACTACACTATGCACCATACACACACAACACAATACAATAACACACACACACACATTACACTACACTATGCACCATACACACACAACACAATACAATAACACACACACACACATTACACTACACTATGCACCATACACACAACACAATAACACACACATATTACACTACACTATGCACCATACACACAATACAATAACACACACGCACACACATATTACACTACACTATGCACCATACACAATACAATACAATAACACACACACACATTACACTACACTATGCACCATACACACAACACAATAACACACACACAGACACACACATTACACTACACTATGCACCATATACACAATACAATACAATAACACACACACACAGACACACACATTACACTACACTATGCACCATACACACAACACAATAACACACACACACAGACACACACCCTGGTTAACCTTGTAATACCTCAGCTCTCTCCACGCGTTTTCTACACACTAAGCCGCCACATGAGATCAGTGTTGCCAGATCAAGGTTAATACTGTTAAAAAATAATATATATATTTTCCCCTGAACTAAAGATACAAACAAAAAACAAATGCCTTAAAAAAACATAAAAAAAAATGATGCAAATAAAAACCGACGTATGTTAACAAGCTTTTAGTGATGAGATTAAGTTTATGGATTTATAGGAAAGGTGATGTGATGTGATTGTCTTAACTGGTGATTAATGAAGGGATCTAGTTAAGGTCGAGTCTCTGTGGCCTGGAGGTGTGTTTTCACCTGAGCTAAGACGAAGGACGACGTTTACTCCTCCACGGCCTTCTTTCCCTCCCTCCTGCTTCTCTCCCTCCTACTTCCCTCCCTCCCTCCCTCCCTTCCTCCTACCTCCCTCCCTCCTACTTCTCTCTCTCTTCTTCCCTCTGGATTCCGGTGTTTCAATGTCACTATTCTACCCTTCTCATGTTACCTTACCACGCCACACTAATAAAAATAATAATGGTTGCCCCTCGTGTAACGAGGATGGCCGGCCCAAGGGCCACCAAGGCGTGAATTTGTTTAAGGTGTAGAAGCTGTCGCCAACACAACAAACACGCCCTAAGTTAACGAGCTGTACGACCCAGTGTCAAGGAATAGTCCAAGAAGTCCGGACAACTCGCCAACTGCACTGGTTAACCATTACCCCGAACACGATCCGCAAATCGATTAACATGCAGGTTCCCGATTACTGCTGGGTAGACACTACACTACACCATACACACCACACCACACTCCACACCACCTGTTCGCAAAAATAATTACCTCACGTCTCATTCCAAGGTCTCTGAAATTTCCCTCATTATCTCTACGTTCACTCTCAGGGCTGTGGAGACATTGTGTTTTCTTTAGGCTGCTACAATTGGCTTACTGAATAATAATAATAATAATAATAATAATAATAATAATAATAATAATAATAATAATAAAAACAATAACAATAATAATAACAATAATAATAAAAAAAATTCATTCAAGTACATTAGTTATCTTTACAGTCAATATTTAAATCATAACAAAGGGAACGTTATAGAAATGGTAACAAACAAATGAACTCTGCAAAGCTTAAAAGTAGAACGAGAGAGAGGCCATCATATATAATATACAAGGCTTAAGATTGACCTGCTTGCTGGCACGTGTTCAGCTTTCATCTCTCTCTCTCTCTCTCGTCTATATGTCAAGCACAGCCTATACTAACTTGCGCTAAAGATGGATCACCTGAAGCTTAACCCCCTAGTTTTTCACCTAACCTAACCTAACTTAACCTAACGCTAACTTAAAGCAACGCTATTCTAATCTAACCAAATTTAATCTAACCTAGCACCTACAGAACCTAACCTAACCAAAACTCATACGGTAGAATTCTTATCATGTTTTTCTGCCACCATAAGTATAAAACAAAACATTACTTCTATAATCAACAGGAAATGGTGGCGAGGCGTGTGTGTGTGTGTCAGGTGTTCTAGTCACCGAACCCTCCTGTACTCAGTCCTGGTCTCCTCCTTTCTCTCGGTAACCGCAAACAACCTGTAAAGTATTTCTCTATTTTTAGAGCGAGTCGTCAGTCCGCTTGTTGCCGTAAGCTCTTGCTACCATCAGTCATATCACCTCATACTGATTAGGGTTCCTGCCGATGTGAGAACACACACGTGAAACACTCTCCTTCCCTCACACGTCAACACACACGTGAAACACTCTCCTTCCCTCACACGTCAACACACACGTGAAACACTCTCCTTCCCTCACACGTCAACACACACGTGAAACACTCTCCTTCCCTCACACGTCAACACACACGTGAAACACTCTCCTTCCCTCACACGTCAACACATACGTGAAACACTCTCCTTCCTCACACGTCAACACACACGTGAAACACTCTCCTTCCCTCACACGTCAACACACACGTGAAACACTCTCCTTCCCTCACACGTCAACACACACGTGAAACACTCTCCTTCCCTCACACGTCAACACACACGTGAAACACTCTCCTTCCCTCACACGTCACACACGTGAAACACTCTCCTTCCCTCACACGTCAACACACACGTGAAACACTCTCCTTCCCTCACACGTCAACACACAGGTGAAACACTCTCCTTCCCCCACACGTCAACACAGATGAAACACTCTCCTTCTCCCACACGTCAACACAGGTGAAAAACTCTCCTTCCCTCACACGTCAACACAGGTGAAACGCACTCCTTCCTTCACACGTCAACACAGGTGAAGCACCCTCCCTCCCTCCCTCACACGTCAACACAAGCCCTCCCTCACAAACCAAACCTCAACAGAAACACAAAATCTCTCGGTAATTGGGTGTTACATATTAGCCCTTATATATAGGGAAGACTCATAGACACTTAAAAGTAATCCGAAAATATCGTCAATGACTTCAGATGTGTTTGGTGTCGGTGTCTCTTACTGGTACCAGAACACGAGGAAATAAAGGTGTGGTTATTATCATACAGTTTCGGATCACCTGATAATTAGACACCCACAGCTTATTTCACCTGTAGATTAACCACCCTAACGTTACTTAACCACCCTAACGTTACCTAAGGGGGGGGGGGGTAGGTTAGCGTTAGATTATGATAGGTTGGATTAGCATTAGGGTGGTTACGGTAAAATAAGCTGGGGTGTCTAATCTTAAGGTAAAATAATCTGGGGTGTCTAAGCTTAAGGTATAATAACCAGGGATGTCTAAGCTTAAGGTATAATAAGCTGGGGTGTCTAATGTTAAGGTAATCTGGGGTGTCTAAGCTTAAGGTATAATAAGCTGGGGTGTCTAATGTTAAGATATAATAAACTAGGGTATCTAATCTTATAGGTCATTTAAGCTGGGATGTCTAATCTTACGTTAAAATAAGCTGGGGTGTCTAATCTTACGGTAAAATAAACTGAAGTCTTTAATCTTCAAGTGATCAGAAATATCTACCAATTTGAGACCAGTAGCTGAAGCACACACTGATACACGCACACACACACGAGACCACCTGCTCACCTGAGAGAGACCACTCAACTAACTACGGGCGACAGGGGAGTTGCACACCGACCAGCCCTGGCGTGGCCCCAAGGTGGTGCCGCCCCGCCCCATGGATGCCTCACCCGTGTGCACAACTTATCTAATTACTCACTATTCCCTGTGCTGTGTTTTGTGTTGCTGTTTGTGGTTAGTGTTGAGTGTATAAGTGTCCTCTCCTTAAGGTTCTTCCTGTAACTAAACTAACACATTAACTTGGACTTAAGGTTTACACACGCAATGAAGGAAAAATAAATTGTAATTGTGAGTTAAATGTGAATGGAAAGTTTCTGATCGATTGAAGATTAAGTATCCATGATTATTTCACCTGGAGATTAACCATCCTACCTTAATCTTACCTCAACCTAAACCTATCTTAACCAAACAAAACAAAATAAAACCTAACCTTATTTTAACAACTGAGTTTCGATATACATTTAACATCCTTCTCATTTGTTCAGCACATTATTTAACCTCATTTATTTTCTATATTATTTAAGCTATAGTGTTGGAACCTAAGTTTTCGTCTTTTAGTAAAAGTTGGATGAATAATGATAAATTCTCTACAGCTCTTTATTTCTTTCCAGCTATTACTTATTTTTAGTTAAGAAATAAAGATTAATTCTCTACCTTCATTTATATTGTCTCATCAAGGTTTCTAAGCCTGTGGTCTAGAACAATGCCAAATAGAACAAAACTTTCCCTCGGCCGTGCATGATCGTTCACTTTCACTCTGACTTCAAACACACTTTCACAACACGACTTGATTTTCACTTTCGCTTTCACTAACGATCGCCTTTTGTTCCGTGTTCATTTTCATGCATTATTATTTTTTTTTTCACCATCTATGTCACCATTTCAATATTTTACACCTGTCGAAACTTTCCACCTGTGAACGCTATACATATATCAACATTTCACGCCCGTCGACACTTCACGCCTGTCGACACTCCACACCCGTCGACACTTCACGCCTGTCGACACTTCACACCCGTCAACACTCCACACCTGTCAACACTCCACACCTGTCAACACTTCACACCCGTCAACACTCCACACCTGTCAACACTCCACACCTGTCAACACTCCACACCTGTCAATTCATTTATGATGTTGAAATACACAGTAGTTCGTGTTCTTAATTCCATACATACATGAACGTAAAGTGGATTTATGTTATATTTACTTCTGAAGTGGACGGCAAGCCAAAACAAAACACATGTTTTTATTACCACCTGTTCCACCTCACACCACACCCTCCACCTCACCTACTCCACTCCACAAATCACCCCATACTCCACTTCACCCATTCCACCTCACCACACTCACTCCACCTCACCATCTCTCACCCCAGCTCCACCTCACCACCCATAACTCCACCTCATCACCCCCAGCTCCACCTCACCACCCACTCCACCTCACCACCCCTAGCTCCACCTCACCACACTCACTCCACCTCACCATCTCTCACCCCCAGCTCCACCTCACCACCCATAACTCATCACCCCAGCTCCACCTCACCACCCATAACTCCACCTCATCACCCCCAGCTCCACCTCACCCCAACTCCACCTCACCACCCCTAGCTCCACCTCACCACCCCCAACCCACCTCACCACCCCAACTCCACCTCACCACCCCTCACCCCAACTCCACCTCCCCAACTCCACCTCACCACCCCAACTCCACCTCATCATCCCAGCTCCACCTCATCATCCCCAGCTCCACCTCATCACCCCCAGCTCCACCTCACCACCCCTAGCTCCACCTCACCACCCCTAGCTCCACCTCACCACCCCTAGCTCCACCTCACCACCCCCAACTCCACCTCACCATACCCCACTCCACCTACCCAGGTACCACATTTTCATCAGGTGAATAAGCTGGGATGGAGTGAATCCAAGTTATCTCTTACATCAAATTCACTGTTATTTTCACGAATAATATCACAATCAGTTCACTCTTAGGTAAAACGGAACCGGCCACTTTGAGTCTTAGATTAAATGTGAGGCTAAGTCAGATTACCTGTTTGAGATGTGGGAAGTGATTCACGGTCTGATTAACACGGGGATATTGGAACGTCTAACAAGATCGTCTATGTAAACAACAGCTGGTTATCCTCCTCTAACCCGGCACAACAAAAGAAGAGATGGAACACACCTTTAATTTGCTTTTCTTTATCCTCTTCGCCATTGATCTCTGTTGGCAAGTATTGGCTCCAAAATGTATCTGTATACCTGCCCCGGTGTTGGTCCCGTCATAACACTCTCCAAAAAAGTTTGCCCTGACAATTTTCTGAACTTACTGTAAGGCTTCTTCAACCTAACTCTATGACCTCTGGTGGGGCGGGCGTCCACTATCAACAGACTCACAATGATTTACAGGCTCCTACCTCCTCTCCAAAATCTCCATACAGTTCAGATCTCTATATCAACGAGTCCTACAGTATACAACCACTACTAAAATGTCACTTAGGTCTCTGAATAGAGTATGACTATCAACTATGAAACATATCTCGGAACAATACAACCACAGCGGTTCTTTTCTTTACTTTGTTTACACATTATTCAACAGCACTAGAGGCGAAATTGCTTTGATTTGTGATATTCTAATGTATTTACGAGTCTCAATGTTTTTTTTTTATTTGATGGTTCTCATTAATTCATCATTATTTTATCAATGTTTGGAATGTGTTCGCCCATCTATGAGTCAGTGTTCAGAAGCATCTGTTGTCAGTTGATGAATTCGTCTGGTTGAATTCTTAATTTACTCTATATAGAATTACTATAAAAACTCGCATTTCAGGACAAATTAATTAGATTATTTTAATTATCTTATCAATTCTATTATTCATCAATTGCAGAGTGATGTATTCTAATAATGTATTTTAGTTTCGCAATTGAGGCGTTTTACTCGATTTTTATGAAGTCTCCATTGTTCTTTTAAGGCCGACTATAGTAATACCCGCGGTAAATAGTTTGTTATATTTCAAACAATTTTAGCTCCTCTGTCTCATGTTTTATAGGAAATATAGCTTATAATTCTCTGGGCTCTGATTCTTAAAGGTTCGTGATAATTCTCTACCTTTTGTAGCAAATGATCACACAAGAGTTATGGTGCCGTACAAAGATGGTAGTCAAAAAGACGTAGAGACGCTGCCTGTATTATATAACTTTCTCATTATTTTATAAGATCATAGGAGCTAAAACACAGTGACACTGTACGGCATTGTTTATCGCGAGAGACCTGCTGGGAGAGAGGCCAACTTCACCAAGATCCGGAGATTCGTATGTCAAAATATTTTATTTATTTTCCTCTTACGTCAGGAAAATAAAAGAACTAGTGTAAGTTACAGACGAGTAATTTCAATGACATTTTGTAAGGTCGTAAGACACATTTTCACATAGACTCGTCAGCTGAGGGGTAAATATTCTTCACATCGTCGTCCGTCACCTCACATGACAATAAACTACCTCTATTTGGAGTTGATACATTGGCTGTTTATATTTCGTCAAGACAACTGCCAAGAGAAGCTGGGAGGGGACTGAAATATGGCGTGTTCTAAGTGGTGAACAGCGGTGATAAAGAAAACGCTCTTTATTGACGAGGAACCAATAGGAGTATTGTTTTACCTCAGCATCTTTCATTCGATATCCAATCAAATTCTTCGTATAATCTGAATACCTATTGTAGTTGCGTTATATGAGCGTCAGTTTGTCTGTAGGCAGCATGAAGAGTGTGATCGTCTGCCTTCTACTCACCCCGCTGGTGTTGACGCTTCACATAAGCTACACGACCCTGAGAGCCTACCCTTGCCAGGTGTATCCCCCGGGCCGCGCCTGGGCCGCACTGCCCACCCTGGTCAGTCTGCGGCCCACCACCACCATCTGGAGCACCCAGATACATATATTAGATCTAGAAACAAGACTTCTCGCCTGTATCCTTTTGATGCCTCGTAAAGGTAAACTCGATGTCTTCATGAGCACTGGAGACTGTGGATCCACTGTTGTCAACAAGTCAATCTGGGACATTAAAGACTTTGGCCAAGACTCATGGACGAACGTGGAAGTGAGCGTGAAAGACAGCAAATTAAAACTAAATGTTAGAGGAACCCGACAATCCATGATGACGCCCATCCCAGATCTGCCATATAATCTTGTTGTGATGGTGGACAACACACACACGGTGTCTGTGTCGTTCGGCTGTCCTCGTGGCTGTTACATCATTAGTGAGCTGCCAAAGTCATCACTCAAGCTTGGAAGGGAGACGACCTTCTTTGTGCTCCCTTTCCGTAAACTAAAAAAGTTAAAATTCCGAGTTCATTTGAAAAGTTGTTTTAGAAACGAAGACGTTGGAAAGAAAGACCTGGGACTTCCACCACTCAGGGAGGATCAGTGGAACGTTGTGAACTTCAAGGTGGAAGATGACAAATACACAGTGGAGGTAAACGGCCAGCAAGAGTTGTTAGTTACATTTGCAACAACTTACTGCCACAGGTCTTCTGACTTTTATCTGAGTGTTGAAGGTGAAGCACTGTGGAGTTTTAACTGTAAGCCAGAGTCTGAGATGTCCCCTGTGACAACAACAACAACAACAACCGTCACCGTCACCCCGCCGTATACATCATCACCCCCTGACCTACTCTGTGAGTCACCCACCACACCGGCTTGTGACGCTTCTCCACCGCCCTCATCCCCAATATCCATCGTCCTGCTATCTCTTCATGCCTCTCTGCTGGGTGTATGTGTCATCGTGGGCAGCTACACCTTGTACCTCGCCTGGACATTCTCACGCCCACACCCCATGACACCCACCACAGAAGATTTAGAGAATTCAGACGATTCATCCCAACAAATGGATTTCAGTTCGCCTGTGTCTGCAGAGTCACGTCGCAGCACCGAGGGTCGACAACGTCCATTCTCCGACACCTCCACAA